TTATCAATTTTTATTCAATTTAATTTAGATTATGAATTTCATTTTAAGAAAATTAAGTAATTTTCCTAAAAATATTTTCACTAACTCCAAAAATACAAAAATGACCATCAACCAATAAATAGCCTTTTTCTTAAAATTCCTGATTCTTTTTTTCTACAGAGTTTTATTTTAATAAATGGGAAATAATCTGAAAATAATATACATCATTCTATAGTGGTAATTGAATGGTCAAACACATTATTACATTTTCAATAAAATTGTTTTTATTCTTAATGAAGGAGTCTTGAGAATTATATATTTTCGAACTTTTTCCAACCATCAAAAATTTTTCAACTAATCCATCATGAACTTATCCAATTGAAGTTGGCAATAATTGATCGATTGAAGTTATTTAATCATCAATATCATAACCAAAAAATTATTTAAAATTGCTAGAATATTTTTGATCAATCTATCCAAAAGAATCAAATGAAACTAAAGATGTAACTGAAATAGCTTCACTATTAATATATTTTAAAATATGAAATGATTATTTAGACATAAAAAGTGATTCTTTTTGAACAGATTATAATTTATCAGCTATTTTTAGTTAGTTATTTAAATCATCTAAACAAATTATTGATAAGAGTAAATTAATTCGAAGAGTTAAAATATTTTCCAAATCTGGATCTTCTCGTTTTTACAAGAATTCTTTATATAATTTTCGAATCTTTTCAATTTAAATGAATATTTTATTAGATTAAAAAAGTAAGGAATCAAAATCCTTCAGTGTTCCATTTTGATAAAATAACCAAAACTCTTTACAAAAATTCACTTATTTCATAATATTTGTCATCAATTCATTTTCATAAAAAAAATATAAATTTAAATCGCTTAATGTCTTAAATTCAGATTTATTTATCATATATTTAGACCGATTTTATTATTCTAATTCTTTCTTATTATCACATTAAATTTTCTTTGTTAAATTCAAAAAAAATTATGGTGATTAATGATTGTTCTTTTAAAATCTATTAAAATT